AATTTCCTAATTGTAGATACAATATGAAAATATTATTTCTGAATATTTAAAGTAAAAAAATATCTTTGTATGCGATTTAGTGCATTTTAATAATATTATACAATAATTTGGAAAAATTAAATCTTTTAATTGATATATTTTTTGTATTGAGACTTGAAACTATTTTCGCACATTTGTTATATAATATTTATTTGTTTTTATTTGATTTTATTTTCAACATAAAAGTCAACACATTTTCTGAAAATTAATTAATTTACAATATTGAAACATTGCCTACATTTAGGTGCAACTGCTAAATAGTTATACCAGATACAAAATATCACAAGAATTAACTTGGATGAATTGAATAAAAAAAATATTTTGCTAGAGCGAGAAAAAATTTAAATTATTACTAGGTAATTGTTTTATTCTATTTTTATATGCAAATAATTTTTATAAAAAAATAGTAAAATAATTATTGTTTTATTCTATTTTTATATGCAAATAATTTTTAAAAAAAAAAGAGTAAAATAAATACGATATAAAATTTTTTAACAAACTTTTTTTATATCTATAAAAAGCGATATATGGTACAAATTCCAAAAACACCAAATTACAGAAATTATTTTTCATACAATATTAACGGTTTTTTTTATTTAAGTCAAAACCATTTATAAAAAAATTTTTAATTTCTATTTACTTTGGTATTAATTTTTATTTTATTTCATATTTAAATTATTTGTTTGTTTTGTGAAACTTTAAGAAATTTATCAATGAAGAACATTTTGTAAAAAAAATATTATAATTCTTAGAGAAATAAAATTTTCCCTACTCATTATGGCTTAATGCATACTACTTGGGTATACAAATTTGTTCAACAGTCAAAAATGGCGTAACAGCTTTTGGCTATATATGTATGCATGTTATCATAAATTTCTATTAATTTTTTTTTATTTTTATTTTAATTTTTTTTTCAAGTCATCTTCAATCAACAGCTACTTAAATTGCAAATAGCGCACATATTTCGGCAACACCGAAAACAAACCGAATGAATCGTTAAATCACGAACCGCCTCAAGTAGGTTAATAAAAAAAATGCTAATGAACGATAATAATAATATTCAATAACGCATTCGGCGAAAATTTTATTATTCATTCACTTTGCATGGGATTGCTCACATTAGCAAAGCCACACTTGTTTATGCGTGTGTGTGTGTGTGTATGTGGAGGTGCCAGCGGCCGCTTAGCTATAGACATTGCATTTAACTTTCTCCGAGACAATGCGAACGTAAATATTTAGGTAATATCTCTTCAACTTGACTATTTGCGCATATAAATTGGCAGCGAACGTGTCACGACGTTGCCCATAAAATGCATAACGGTATTGGGGCCCGGTGAGCTAATCGAGCGAGCAACAGGTGAGCGCACTGCTCCACTCATCAACCTTAACAAGCCGCTGCCAACGCTACTGCTGCTGTTGTGTGTTGGTGGTGTTGGCACAGACGCTTCTGCTGTTGGGCGCAGGCGCAAGTGGCCGCTATATATATACATACATACTTACATATGTGCATATATGTGTAATTTATATTGACTTTTATTGCATAATTTGTACGTGAAAAGCGTTGAAGCTCTCAAATGCAGTTAAGACAATTTATAATTGGATGTATATATAGGTATACATATGTATATGTGTATATTAAAATTAACTCTTATGTATAAATGAACATGTTATGCGAACAGGTTGCCACCGAAAGTGAAATTAAAATGTTTTCTAATTGTTTTGATTTTTCAAAATGTTTTTTTTTTTTGTTTTGTATTTATAATAAAGGAAAATTTATGCAGCACGCCATGGAAACGGGTCTAGACTGCAGTTGGCGATGGGCAAGGTGTCAACGAATTTGCTGCAACTAAGTTTGTGTAAAAGGGAAAGTGAAAACACAAACTCATTGAAAAATTCGAAAAACTGCTTTGCCAGGTATTTAAATCATACGTATACATATACATATATATGGCAGCTGAAAATTAAATTATTTTCGCAACATTTGCGCTTTCAGGTTTGAAAAACAACACCAAACTGTTTTCTTTCAACGGTATGATTCTTTTTACACTTTTCGAAAATTTTAATCACCAACTTGTACACATTTTCAAGTTAACTTGTCTATGAAATATTAGAAAAACTTGAATAAATTCAATAAATAATTGCCTAGTGTTGACTTACTAGTTAGAGTTTGCGATTTTATTTATTTTTTGAGTTGAGTGAAAACAAAAGACTTAAGCCACAAACTTATTTATATGGTTGTTGATTTTTGTAAAATATATTGAAATATCGGTTTAATTGCTTTCAATATGAAATGTTTTTTTTTTAATTTTTGAATGACTTTTATAAAATATTATGGATTTTAAGTTCTGATTAAAAAAATATTTACTGTAAAAAATATAAAGAATTAGTTAGCTTTTTTTTTGGTTTTCGAACGAAAATATTTAAAGTTTGTTTGTGTATTTCTATTGTATTGTTCAGTCGCAGAGATTACTATCTTACAAACATACACACCAATTTTATTCATCCGTAATGATATAATGTTTACATATTTATAGAACTACATAAGTACATTTCCTTTAAATTTCAACTAATTCTAAGATCACTTATTTTAAAATAATTTGCTACAAACACAAATACGTTTTGAAAAATCAAAGTATAATACTAAAATTCGAGTTTAAGTTGTCTAGAAACCGACTTTACATGAAAGCAAGCAATAAGGAACCTCGAAACAAAAATAAACCAGTGCAATGTACCAGTTCAGATCAAGCAAACCAAGAATAACAGTATTTATATAGTTTTCAACATACATTTTTTTTAACAACTACATACATACCGTAATATCTTTATATGTATGTACATATATACAAAATAAAAAATTAATACACACATATTTACAAACTCTCGGTTAAAACATAAAATCAGCAGCCATAACAACTTTAGTACAAAAAAAAACAATAGCAACAACAAAAGTATGAAAGAAATTGTTTCAATGTTTGTGAAAGTGTTTTCTGTTGTCTGAACATGATCGCGGGTACCAAACACCGACAATACACCCCCACCGACCCATCAGTAAAGCAATAAAACAGACGACGCAACAACTGTTAGGCTTGCATATTACCGCTGACTTGCTGTTGTTGTCACTGCACTGAATTTTTATCATGACTTTGTTGCCAACAACGAATAAGTACATATAAAGAGCAAAAACAACAATAACTTTTTTTCTGTTTGTTGTTATTGTTGTTGGTTAGTTGGCTGTTGTTTAGTTGACTGTTGTTTGTGGTTTTCTTAGAGAAGAGTGTTGGTTGTCCGCACTTTGCATTTATGTTGCTTGTGGTTCATACATATGTACATATTTTTATATGGATGTGTAATGCACAGTCGCTTGCATAAGGCCAGGCATGCAGGCAGGCGACAGCAAAATGTTTTTAGGTGAAACTGCAGCACAACAAATTGTCAAGCGAGGGACTTTAAAAATAAGAAAAAAAAACACACACACAACTATTGATGCCACTAAGCCGATTATTACCAAATTTTTGTTATGCAATTGTTAATCGATTTTTTTCGATTTTCTGTTTCGTAAAGTGAAACCCCAAAAGTTTGTAATGCAAAATTTTCAAATATTAGTGTAAACATTAGTTTCATGAAAGCTTAATTTATAGTGGTAATTTACTTGTAAGGGAAATATGGGAACTCATAGGTATTGGAAGTAGCAATAATTGTATATAGCATAGCAAGCTGACATATAACCTATTAAATGACTAGCTGTTCCCTTTAATGCAAACTTTTTAATTAAAAACTTTTGGATTAAAAATTTAAAATTTAAAATTTAAAATTTAAAATTAATTTTTAATGTAAAATTCGAAATAAAAAATAGTAAATTGAATTCTTTAATCCAAAAATTGGAATCGAAAAAAATTGGAAATATAGTTTTTAAGCCAAATCAGAATTTAAAATTAATAAAATATTTTTAAACTCCAATAAACATTTACATATTTCTTACTAAAAGTTATAATTTGTTGATATTTTATTAAACATCCTCTCTTATTTTCAAAAGGTAAACAAAATGGTAAAACACGAAGATCAAGCGCGAAATAATTTTAAATTTAAAAATACCGCTTTTTAATTTACGATTTTATACTTGGTATAATAGTTTTTCATTTTCTAATCCAGTATTTAGAATTAAAATTTTAATTGTTTTTTTTTAATCCTGTTAATGGAATTAACAAATTATTTTTTTAATTGTTGTTTTAATTTTTTAATCCGCAATTCGAGATTAAAATTTTGAAAATTAAATTATTATTTAAATGCAAATTAAGTTGTTTGAATGCATTATTTGCAACCCTGTTTTTATGCAATCTCTCGACAAAAATTTTAAATTTCATTCTATATATTGGTTAAATAATTTTAAACATAAAAAGAAGGTTTACTATTAAATTATTTATTTTCCTAATTCAATTAAAAATAATATTTAAAAAAACTTTATAAAAAATTGCACCTGCATACATTATGTTATCCATCACCAAAATCTGACTGATTATTAAATATTCATAGCCAAATAACATGTAAATAAACAAAATATTTAGTTTTCATTTTAATCTAGATATACTTTGATTTTCTTGTTAAATCAACGGTTTTTCAAAACCCCACCAATGAACATTAAACTTTAACAGATCTAATCAGGGCTTCAAGCAAAGAATCCGCGCGAACTTAATATATTTAAAATTCATGAGCAGTACTCAAGATCTACCCGATTGCTTTAACATTGTCACTCAATTTACTTGTATCGCGATAGAAGGGGCGCAGGGCATCTGTGTCGTTATAATATTGCAAGTGTTCAAATTTTCAGCACCTTCACTTCGTTCCCACGCTTCAAATGCGCATGCAAAAATCTGGCGAACTATTGCAACTTCACACACACACACATACATATGTATAGCTGAATTCTCTCTTTACATTGTCAATTTGATATGCTTAGCACTTACCTTCCTTTTTCGTAGTCGTTTTATATCTCCCTTCACTGTCGATATTCACTTTATCGTTCAAATGTGAAATGGTGGCGTCAGCAGAAAAGTAATATTGCCGATATTTTGTGGCTACACAAGCCGGCTGTTATTCTTAGTGTCGATTTTGTTCTTAAATGTTACTACTGTTGTTGTTGTTATTTGCACTGCGTCTTTTTATTTATGCTGTGACTATATGTATACTTTCAATGACTTTCAGCGCTGCCTCAAAGTAATATAAAAGAGGTGCAAAATGTCGAAAAAATTTATGCAAATTGAAGTGCTTACACGCTAAAAAAAGATATAAAAATGAAAATAAATTGGGAATAAACGAGACAAAGTTAACGTAGCAGCAAAAAAACAAACGAAGAAAAAAAGAACGATTTGCGCTCACAACGGAAAATTACAAAAAAGGAAAAGGAAACGTTCTGCCAATTGGCTTCTTTTGTCTTCACAGCGTATTTCGATGTCGTCGGTTATTCGTTTGTGTTTTGTTTTGTGCTTGTGTGGCTTTCGAGCGTACCTTAACTTTGGCACTATTTTCTTTTATTTGGTTGCTTGTTCTACTTGCGAAATCTTGGCGTTAAAGGAGCAAATACACGCACGCACGCTCACTCACCGGCTTTAAACACGAACGTGTGCGAAATTTTTAAAGCTAATTCTTTGTAACCGTACCGTTTGTTAACTAACTGACTGACCGACCGAACGTAAAACTGTTGCAAGCCTTGCCGTTTAAGGTAAGTTCTTGTTTGTTGGCGTTGTTGTGCCAAATTTGCACTTTATGTTTTATATTGCTCACTTTTTCGCTTATGTTTGTACATACACATATATTAATATGGTGTTTGTTGGTTTGTTGGCTTTGCAGGCGCAACAGCTGTAGATCGACACCATCAACGCCTTGGAGGCAGTTCTGAATAAGGTGCACACCAAAATGGGAGCAGCTCGAATTTAAGCACCAAAGTCGAAAATTCAGCAAGATCAACGAGTGTATAAATGCACTTTGTAAAAGGAGCCGTTGTAATGTATACGAGTAACTGGTTGTTTGTTTTGTTTTTACCTAACTCGTTGTATTGTTTTTTTTTTATAATCGGTGTGTTGTTAGTGCGCTATTAAATTCGCGCAAAATAAACCTCTGACAGTGTACAAAAGAATATCAGTTACAGGTTTTTTATTTTTATCTCACGTGAAGCTGCGCTCTTGTGTAGTATTGTGCTAAAGGTGATATTTATTTTGTGCAAAATGGTATATAAATAACGAGTTGTAATATGTCGGAGTAAATACGTAGTTAGAATTAAGTTGGCAATTTACAATGAGTCAACATGTGCACTCGTGCTAATTTTCTTTTTCACCAACACTGCACTATGCGCGTTTTTTATGTCTCCATTACACAAACAAAAACACTTGAGCATTTAACGTACATACATACATACATACTGTTTGCTGACGGCACTGCTTTGGCACAGCGGCTTTCATTGCATGAGTGCGCTCTAGATGACTCTCTTAACTTTGTTTTTGCTTTTGCATTGGCAATCTGCCTACAATTGACATTAGTTAAAAGTAGTTGTAATTTTTTCGTTTTAAATGGTTTTGTTATTATGAAGTTAGTATTCGTTGTTTTTCATAAATTATTTTTTTGCTTGCTGTTTCGATAACTTTAGATTTCAGTGTTATTTATTAAATACCACATAAATATGATAGTATTTAAAAAAATGTTGATCTGTAAAATTAATTTACACAGAAAAATTAATTTTTAAATAAACTTTTCACGCCTTGAAGTCCAAATAGTTTGTTAAACTTTTAGAATTTCCCCTTGCTACTAAATTAATAGTTAATTTTTTAAACATAAAATTTACCGTTAAGTGTGTGTGACACTTTTCAAATCAGTTTTACACAGTGTTTCACAATCAATCTTTTTAACGGCCAATTAATCACATATATGTAAACATAAATAAGTTTGCCTTAATTATTTCGTTGCCACTATGCGTTGTTCAACACAAAGCATTAAATTGTAAATAACTGAAGAAAATTCGTTTAAGCGTGTTAGTACTTCACTATTCGTACACGATCAAAGCTATTTCCCGTTTATTGTCCGTTTTACACGTTTGAATTGCAGCCCTGCTCGTTCGCGACTGGCGTACGATCACTCGCCTGGTAAGTTCATGTGTGCCAGAAAGTCGTCGCGGCCAGTTTCACCACAGCAGAGTACCGAAGTAAACAAGTTTCTTCTTCGTTTTGATCTGCTCGCAACAGCGAAGGGAGTCGGTAAGTGAGTTAGCCGAAAATGCAAATATCTCAATTTTAATTCCACATACACTGCACTAGAGGAAATCGGAAGTGCAACACTAAGCAACAACGGAAATGCTGTCGTTGGATGCAAATATGACAGAGCATGGTGAATTTGGTCCCTTCAGCATTTGGATTTGTTGCCTGTATTAAGAAATACTATAAGAACAAGCTAGACTGCGGCAAAAAAAAGAAAAACGATAGCAGAAATTGTGACTGATATTTTCGTATAAGATCAAAAAATATACCAAAAATCAGGTCAAAAATCTGTGGCACTGGAAAGAGTATAGGCCAGTGTTATTTTCAATATATTTAAAACATTTGTTCCTATATTTCGTTTAAATATGGTTTTTTTAATGCACTATAAGCAAAATTATTTAAATTAATTTGACTTCCAAACGTCGGACACAAGTTTGAACAGAGAACGCATTTTATATATAATTTACGTTATATGGTTTGAAATATGAAACCATACAAGAAGCTGAATATTCTAAAACTGTGTTAAAATTATAACAGAGAACGTACGCTCTCTGTTTAAAGACAGCGTGTTTACGAATTAAACAACGAAATAAACTGTCAACGGTAAGGATACCAAGTAGAGTTTCTTGAATTAAAAAATTTAATTATTTATATTTGTAAAGTGGAATAAATAAAACAACGTTCTGCAATATGTCTGAAGAATTTCGCGCAGTCACAAGGAAAAAATGGATTGCACGCAGATCTATAAACCCCAGATTACGAAAGTTATCGGAACGGTGTAATGAAAAAGACGAGAAAGAAGTGGATGTGGAGATATTTCTTAAGTACAACGAAAGGCTGGAATTTGGTTCTTTTCCAAAATTAATTTATTTTAATTCCTAGACGCCTGGAACAGTTATGCACGCAAATGGTGGGCAGTGATTATTTTATACAGGCAATGGAGACTGTGGACGAAAGCCTCAAGGCGCTGACGGACAATGAGAAGATCTCGCGTCTAGTTTGTTTTGGCATCGGTCCTTTCTCTCGCAACTTCCAAGCATTACACCAGCTGGCTTTCATTATTTGTACACAACGGCATTATAGCATAGAAGAAGCTATATACTTTGACCCAGTATTTCGTGAGAGTGAAAAACAAATATTGCAACGCCTCAATTGTGCGCTAATGTCGGAAAATTGTGAAGCAAAGTATGCCATAGATGAGCGCACACTATTTTATCTGCCACATTGTCCGAATTGTTTGACCAACAATTTGCTATGGAGCAATTGGCGTCCAAAATGTATAAAACATTTGGTACTTATAAATAATAGTTTTGAAAGTTTGTCGCTTAGCAAACCGGAGCGTTTATTAAGGTTAGATTCGGGTTATATATTAGATGTGCTGCCTTATGCAAAAGAATATCAATTGGATGATGACTACGAGACACACAATGTTTTTAATGACTTGTCAGTACATGTATTTCCTATGGCATCACTACCTGCACCCGAAAATTCTTTTTGGACGGCAAGAGAAGCACCAACATATACTGATGTTGAAATGATCTCTGCCGAGGAATTCGAAAAACTCAGCCTAACCTAACGCTACTAATTAAATTCGTGGTATAAATAAGTAATTTAAGTTAATAAATAATACACAAATGGTTTTTTAATAGAAACCAATCTTATTTTGCAAATAAAATGTCTAATATAATCAAAATTCATTTATAAATTTTTCCAGAGCTTCTTCATTAGCTTTCCCGCCATCTCTACGTTTTCGCCGTTGCAAAGCCTTTTTCGCTTTGACTTTATTTCGAAGAGCTTTAACTAATTGCAAACGTTGTTCATTCCTTTTCTTCTCTGATTCCAATTTAGCCTTAATACGCCGTTGTATATACTCCTCGTCACTGAGTACTTTGCTAATTTTTTTGGGTTGTGTTTGATGCGGAAGTCGTGGTCTCAATGCACAAGGTATAATTTTGTAGTGTTTATGTAGAGCACTACACAATGAGTCATTTATTGGCAAGTGCTGAACTTCTGTCATAAAAACTAAATCGGAGGGTTCCTCCTGAATAAGGGAATGTAAGAAAACTGTGCTCGAAGTGATTTCTTTAGATGGAGCTGACAGCAAGAGTGTGTTGGAAAATTTTGAATTGAAACGCAAGAAATATTTTCCTGTTGGCATTTTCGCCAATAAATTTAAAGTATCTGCTAGTCCTGTTAGCAATTTGGGCATATTTATTTGATGCAATTCAGCGAGTTGTTTCTCGATGCCTGTTAACAATATTTTATGCTCCAACTCCATGCTGAAGTCATTCGCTGCAATACGAAGACATATAGCGTAATTGGAAAATCCTCTACACTGGCCAAACAACTTTATTCGCAACCATTCTTGTATTAATTCATACTTAGTCATTTCTTCGGCACCGAATTGTGGTTTATATTCTAATTTGAGTGGGTGACTGCTTAATAATTGTACGCCATATTCATCATTTGATGGTGAACATTTTAATTTTGTAAAAAATTGCAATTGTGTTGTGTTCTGTTCATCTATCTTTCCATTGAGATCCCATTCAATAACAGCATAATTAGTTTTGATACAGTCTTCAGCTTTTGTATTCGTGAATTTTTCTAAATACTCATCAATTTTGTATACACGAAAATCCGTGTCCGAATGATTGACAGCTCTAATTTCGGGTGCTTCTTTATTTTTTCGCAATTCGGCATCATAATGTTCCACATGCAACCACTGCGTATCGTTATTTCTACTCAACAAAGCTTCAAATGCGTTTTCCACTACTTGTTTGTGCGCAAACCAACCACAAACGCGGGGTGGAAACGGTTCTTTAAACTTTATAATTTTAAAATTTCCTTCACTGTTATCCGCAATGTCCAGAGGCACTTCGGTGGGCAAGTCAGCGCCACTGCCTGCTGTCAATAGAAATAATAGCGATTCCAATGGTATATAAATCTGGTGCGCTGGTTTTTCAGATATTATACTTTCTTGCCATGTATTATCGTGTTTGGATACAGATTTCATGTTACTAATATAATAATCCATGTAGTTTTCTATCCACGAATTTAATCGTTGGAATTTATTAACATAGTTTCCTAGCACTGGTACCCAACCGCGACGTGTAACTAAACGAACATCTTCTATGTGCAAATACTTATTCTGACTACCGTTAAAACTTTGTGGATGTGGCAGACCGGCACATGTGTTTAATGCCAAATTATTTGGATATTCCTCTAATAATTGTTTTAATTTTGCGGTATATAATTGTTTGTAAAGATTGACCAAACGTTTACATGGCGCGAAAATCGATTTCTTTTGTGTGCGGAAGAACTCCATAACATATTGATCAAATCGAGTTTTGTCTCTCATTCTTGCCTTGTCTAGTTTTCGCCAACGAACCACATCCTCTTCGTTTACTTCTTTGTATTCTTGCCATGCTTCTAATACGCGTAATCCTACGATATGATCCTTTTTCGTCATATGGGAAGGCAGTAAAATTTGAAAAAATCCAACCCTTTCTTTTACGCCTCCTGAGTTGTCATATATAATGTTATCCACCGCTTTTCCATTACGTGGATCCAACAGAATTTCGTATTTATAATCACTTGCTTGGTGTTCAGGATTCATGAAAACTGGATGCACATCGTTCAAATGACAGAAAAGCGCGTCGGTAGTGTCTTCAAATGGTTTATTGAAGTGAGTATAAGGCGGTTGATTTTGAAAAAAAATACTAGGCGGTCGTTTACTGTTCATTTTAATACAAATTAATAATAATCGGTATAATGAATTCCATTCAGTTTGATTATATGCACCGTTCTATTTGTGCAGCGCGTTTTGTTTATAAACAGTTGGAAATTTCTCAGCTGCTAGTGTTACAAAACGAACGAGTCCAGCGAATAGGAATGTCAAATTCTCGAAACGATTGATTGAAAAATAAAAATATTATAATATTTTATGTACAATTTCTATATAGACAACATGTTTTTCGCATGTGTCATAAATTTACCGGTTTAGAAGTGGTATTATTCGTATAATTTACGTTCTCTAGTTTAGAAGTGTTATGATACCCAAATATTATTGAGTCGATTATTGTACTTGTAGGTGAATCCGCCCTTACACATTCGCTGCTTTTACTGCGTTCATATGGGTACTCTTTTGTCGCTCATTATCGGCAAATTCTCTTTTGGTGTCGCTCTGTGCGTACACACGTGCAAAAAGTTTGTGCGCAAATGTTTGCGCGGTTGTCTACACGACACTCAGAGCGTGTTGCATAGTTCATTTGAATGTTGGTATGGTGGTTGCTTGCAAGGAATTACCATGAATGTGGTAGAACAATATTAGATTCAAAGATATACTTAAGTCGGTAATTCCCTAACCTACCAGAATGTATAGAATACCAACTAATAATATTTTCAATGCAAAGTTTATTACAGAAACTTCCTAATCATTCGAGAACTATTAAAAAGTCGTAATTTTTTTACTCCATATACATATGTTTCTATTTATTACAAAATATTCATGAATAAATTACAATTCTTGTTGTGCAGCTAAAAGAAATATATATGAAAGCATCTTAATATATTATGTAAATGTATAAAAGTAAAAGTAAATCCATTTTTATTAGAATTCATGTTTATTAAAAATGTATATATTTGAGCACCTTAATTTTCTCTTTATTCACTATTTCTCAAAATATTTCTATTGTTCTATGCATACATATTTGCATATTACATACAAAAAATAAATAACGAAATTCAAATTTTCTAACATATCGTATATATACATTTGAAACCGAGCGCTATTGCACTTGTGAAAATATTTTCAAACCGGAAAGGCATCATGAATTGCGTAGCAGCGAACTGTTATGAACAAGAACACAAAGCGTGCCACCCAAGCACGAGCGGCACGCTCCGTTCGTCTAACCTCATCGTCCACAAAAAACCGGCTTGGGCCGCAAAAGGGTCTATGTGTGAACTGGGACATTCTCGCCTCTCATCTCTAGATGTATGTATGGGATAATTCGCTATAAAACATGCAGTTTTATCGGTGTCTCTTTTTGTTTGACATTTGTAATTGTTATTTTTCAACAATAATGTTTAATCTTAAAGCTTGTTGAATTGAATGCAAAGTTTTTGGTAATTTCTTATAATAATCTCTTAAAAATTCCACAATGTCTGACGGTGAGTACTGTAAAAAAACATTTATTGATATATTGAGCAACAACTTTTCACAATTCGTAGAGGAGATTATAAAACGTCGCTTATTAATTGATGGAGATGGCACAGGCGATGACCGGCGTCTTAACATGTTACTTAAACAATTCCTCAAATGGACCTTTTCCAAAAATGATTCCCCGGAAAACAAGTAAATATCTCTAAAATACTTATGTTCATTTATTTGTTATGTTGATCATATTCTTCAACTTAGTCAAATAATCTACGATCGATTGCTGGCACAAATGGCGCAATGTGAATTTGCGGCGGCCAAAACAGATTATACGTCTAAAATGATACAAGAAGAATTAAAAAACTATGCTAAGCTTTCCGATTCCATTGAAAAGAGCATCGAGTTGGCTAGAAATGAAATTGAAGAAAGTAAACGAGAACTTGTTCTAGCAAAACAGATACGTAGGAACAAAATGGAGTACGACATGCTGGCAAAGGTCATTAAGGAGCAACCCGATCGTAAGGATACTACCAAACAGATAGATGCTCTCAAAAAAGATCTTTCTGAATTAATGGAAAAGAAAATAAAGTTGGAGCGTAAATTCCAAAAACGGCGTAACGATTTTACACTCCTCATGTATTCGATTCGAGAACTACAAGCACAGTTAGAAGAAGATAGTAGCAGTGAAAGTAGTGACGATGAGGAATTGAATGGTTTGGACACGATGGATCTTAGTGATGATGAGGGCATAACTGTGCGCGCTGAGAAAAATAGCATAGAGTTAGCTGACGGAAAGTCTTTAAAAAAGGATTCACCTACAGATGAGAATGGTTCCAAAGGAAATATGTCGGTGGACGAAGACGCTATACTCGAATTAAGTATTGATAAGGACGAGAGTGATGTGAAGATGGAAGAAACCGTAACAGTTCCCTAGCATTTAGATTACCTCGTTATTGATTCCGATTAAAAATACTACATAAACAAAAAATTTAAATAATTTACATACATATATTTTTAATATACTGAAATAAACAAACAATTTACGACAAATATCTTGCATAAATTTACTATAGTACGACTAGCGAGTAAATACAAAATTACAACGAATGGGCGGCAACTAGTTTGATCTGTCAATAACAGCTGGTAAACGGCCGTAAGAAAATTCAGTCAAAGTTGTTTTGTAATTCAGGTGATAAATAAAAAATTAACTATTACCCTATTTAGTTAATTATAATTTATTACCTTATTTCAGTATGGCTGTAACAAAGACTTTGCGCTCATTATTGCAAGAGCTACGTTTGGCTTCACCTAACGGTTGCATCAAAAACTCGCTGGCCGCACGATATATCCTGGCACAATACAAGAAATACTCTACCACAGACTTGCAATTGTGTAAGGCGCGAGATGAGGCGTTATTCCTGGGTCAAACTTATTTAACATACTTATCCAGCTTGCGAAAATACAATGAATTGTACAAAGAGTACCATGGTCGTGGTGAACGCAGCGTCAAAGAAACTGCGGATTTGGTTGGCTTCAAATTGCCAACGGATCCTAAATAAAAATTGATATGTAATGATGAATGTTAGCTCTATTTGGTTTCTTGATATGAACGATCTTTTTCAGTGAATGAAAATAATATAGTATTGTAATATTGATAAGAATGTGATTTTTTGATGGATTCAATAATACAAAGCAATGTAGCTGACTACTGTAAAAGCAACTATGTATGTATATACTCAATTCAGGTTTTTGAGGTAAGCTTATTTCCAATTATCGTATACAGTTGTTTCTATTATAGCAGCAGTAGTTAATATGAAAAATATTATAGTGCCGTTTTTTTTTTTAATTCAACATATTCTTTGTAATTTATAGCAAATTTTTTTTTAAAAAAATGTTCAGATATGACAAGAATATTTCATAACAGTTTGGTATTGAATATTCTCAATTATAATTTTGTTGTTTTTATACTCTTGCAACATGTTGCTACAGAATCTAATAGTTTTGTTCACTTAACGGTTGTTTGTATCACCTGAAGCTAATCGACATAAATATCGAGTTATGTATATATACCATATACATATAAATGATCAGGATGCCGAGAAGAGTTGAATTCCGTGCAAGCGATAAATTGAGTAAAAACTGAGATATTGTATGGTGGACCTATTCCTTGGCACCCAAGGCAGGTTAGTATTACAGAGTGGTCGTGGCCCCGCCTAAACCAAACTTGCTGAGAAAAAGTAATTTTAGCATATCTTCATCTTTGTGAAAATGGTTTAAATCAGATAATAACCACGCCCACTTCCCATATGTTATATCGGTTATTTTGAAAACCACTAAAAGTGCGATAACTCACTGAATAAATTCGCCACAAGCATTAAATTTCACAACCATAATAGTATGGAAAGGCTTTATAGGAATAATTGTAAAAATTGGACAATGGGCGCAGCACCGCCCACCTTTAGGTGAAATCCTATAACTCAGAAACTATTTGACCAATTTCAACCAAAATTGGTACGTGAGATTTCCTAAATATTCATAGCATACAAATGGGTGAAATCGGATGGCAACCATGTCCACTACCCATATAACAAACTTTTAAATTCCATCTGATTCTTTCACTTTACAGTATACAAATAAAACAACAATTAAATTATCAGAGTAAAACTTTGCACAAATAGTGCCTTCGAGGTATTTCATCTTACGTCCAAAAATTGTCAAAATCAAACTCTAACTTGTGCCAAAAATTGGGAAAAACGGATCAACACTTCCCTTATCCCCCGTATACCTAACATAATATGTTACGAACTTCCTGTTCATTTTATACCTCTCTCTTGCCTCAAATAAAGTTTTGCCAACTCCTGAAGGAGTTTCCCAGGCTTTCATCCTTGCAAGTTGCAAGAGTATGAAATGTTCGGTTACACCCGAACTAAGCTATTCCTTACTTGTTTGTATATACATACAATATATAGATCAGATATTAACTGAATGTCGAAGTCAATGAAACCTATAGGAATCATTCCCGCGTATCACCTGCAATACGAATACATACAAAAGCCAGAAGTACACTGTTTGTTTGTTTGTGCATAAGTTTTCTATGTATAGATGTGTACATCGTTTTTAGCATTCATACTTACATTGTTCGTTATTGACAAAAGAAATTCTTGCACACTTGTTGCCGTCAGCTCAGTGCCCGCCATGAGAGTGCAATTGATGTTGCTGGGTAAATGATTCGTAGGTGAACGATTGACTTGCATATGCAAATGCTGCGAGTAAGTGATGTGGGTGTGTACGATATTTGTGTTTGGTTTTTTGTTAGCATTTTTGCAAATACCTCATTTCAGCGAGCACACTTACAGACATGTGGGTGCATTGCGGTTAGGTGGTTGTGAGAGGCGGAAAGCCGCAATTGACTATCTGCGCATGTAAATATTCAATTAATATCAGCGCTCTGTAGCATAAAGTATAAACATAAATACAAAGATATACATATAAATACTTTGGTAGTAGAAAATTTATAAACTATAATTTTTTATTTGACAAATATCTTCACGAAATTCGGCATGGATTATTGTCCAAAGCAACTCTATAATTTTCGGGGAAAGATTGGACCACTATATCATATATCTGCAATACAAACCGAACGATCAAAATCAAATTCTTGTACACACAATTTTTTTAAATTTAAAATACTGCTCATTTAATAGTTTATATTGTATATTTTCAAATTCATCGTATCATAGGATTTTCATCATGTCCTTATTGTGTCCATGTCGGAACAGTTCCAGATTATGATATTTATCAAATTCCTTGGAACAATAACTATAAACATTAATAAATTTATTTATTTTTATAGTCACTTATCTACCACATAATTTCAGATGCATTCTTGAAAACCACCAAACATATGTACATAGTTCATTCCTATTCTATTCAACATATAAATTAGTTTATTACTTTGTTTGCATTATGAAATTCTAAATTGTATGCCATTCATTGGGCTCGCACTGACGCAGTGCCGATCGCTGTGCCTACGCTTCTGCCAGCTTTCTTTATTGTTATTGTTATTGCTATGAGCTGCAAGATCTTGATATTAAGTAAAGTTAACTACTGTACAACAGAATTCGAGAAAACGTTTGTATGTATAGTGTATGGTTGCTCAATGCCATATAAAGCTGCACAACAATAAATAAGTTCAACGCGCTTTTGAACTTTTCATCAATTTCTATAATTTATTCATTATTTTCAATTTGACGAAATGGTTGGTGGTTAAGTAAGTACACAATGGTGAGGAGAAAATATATGGTCACTACAAAAATATACAGATGTAAATATGTGTATGTATATTCTAAAGATATAATATTTCTTATATGATGTGACGGAGAGGGAGTTAAATAAATATATTATATAATTAGCAGTGAATTTTAAAGATACAGCAGATATGCTCTAAAAATAATAAAATGTTTTTAGACTTGGTTATGTTTTCCTTAAGTGGTAATATCCGCTTGCAAGCCAAAAACTGCTTTTTATATAATATTATTATTTTTTTTTTTGAAAAAAAAATAAATAAAGATATAAATATTTACAGAATTTAATGTACTTTAAATTTTGGGTGATTTTGAAAAGTTTGGATTACCTTGATCCCGTAGCTCGGACCTACAAAAAAAAAAGGTGTCCGCAGGCGAGAAAGATTTTTCTGTTTAAAATTTTCTCAACTCCAAGAACCAAAAAAAATTTTTATTAGTATAAATGAATACAGGTAATCATAGAAGGGTTAATTAAATTTTTGATTTTTGACAAAATTGTTGTTTCCTAAAAAAGAATCTATTTTCTGAAAAAATTTACACTTCAGACTGGCTCAAAAAATCGAAATACTAATTTTCACAAATCGTATTCCTCGTTCATTACCTGACAAATATATCTAAGAAAGCCGTGTGAACATTTCAAGCGGATTGGTTCAGCCGTTTTGGATTTCGCGTTTGAAGTTTTTGGAGTCGATTACACTAAGTTAAAAAATTCTTACAAATATCATAATATAGATAACCCCTCAAAATGGAATAAACATACAAATTTTATTTGAGGGGCCCGTGATTTTGACTTTCCTACATAGGATGTATTCAGATGTAAGTATAGTTCTGAAGAACCGTTAATTGACGATCATGGAAACGGTGCTTATATAGATCTGAATACTTCTCCACTGTATGGTACTGAAAAGCAACTGCATTGACCGTTCCCACGACAGGTCTACGTAACCGGAACAAACCCGGATTTTTATCCGCCCAATGACTGTCAACTTGGCATTATTTCTCCAAATTACTTTGGCGATATTTTCTGCCACTATAACAACAAAAAAGCGAGCCTTATTTTCTTCACCTTTATTTCTGCTAATGACTTTTGTGCTACTACAATTTGGTAACGGTTGCTATTCTGTGAGTTGAAAACAACGGTGAAATTGCCGATTTCCGACGAGAAAGAGTAAACTTTGAGTGGAAGAAACATGGAAATGCCAAGGAGAGCGCTAGCCTCATTCCTTTTAGAAAATTTCTTCAAAGTGGTCAGTATTTCAAGAACCAATTACTAGGTTTAAGAGATTCAATACCATTCTAAATTCACCTCGATAATTTAATAACTTGTTTTTGGTTTTTGTTTTTTTAATGGGTTGTATAACGAATTGCAAAATCTACGCTTTTGACATTCGTTTAAAGTAATAATCGTCCGCAACTGACTCTCTTTCTTCTTGTAAGAAACTGATTATGCGAAGTTTTCAATTAATTTTAATTGAAGTTAATTGCACGACAAGCGAAAGAATTTTCTTTCACAATTTAAATGCCAACTACTGTCTTTTATTGTTGTTATTCTTGATATGCAGTGCAAATTTCTATTGTCGGCCAATAAATGAAATAAACTTCACCGAAGGATTACCAAGAAAGTGAAAGCATTGAAGTAGAAAATACTATGAATTGACCTTGAGGAATGAACTTTATGCTCAATAGGGAAAGTGTTTTTGTTGTGAGTGTGATTTTCGGCTGCTCTTGAGAAATTGATTTTCTATACCAATGCGACGCAATAAACTCATTTGGTTGAGCATTCTATTTGAGAACCGAAAATTTGCTCGTAATTTTGGTTAAATATTATAGATCAATGTTCGAAAATGAATTTTTATGCAGGACAAATTGGAACAATGGTAGCACCTGAATTTAAAGATTATGAAAGCCAAGCCTTAGTAATGGTAGGAATTTATACTATCTACAGTTTGTTCGATTCATCATCTTCAGTTTGTTCGATTCATCATTCTCTAAATTTCTATTAAATTTCAGAATTTTTATCTAAGCAGTCTATTAGAGATACATAAATAATATCTAACTGTAGTTTTTAATTTATTTAAATTTTCGGCCACTTATGTGCTTGTACATACATACATATGTATAAACCTATAAGCGGCAAGTTTTTGATATTTGAAAATCGCGATTAGCAGGGCGGCGATTTGGCTGCATAAGCACCTGAAAAATAAAAATATTTCTACTTTGCACCTTTTATATGCATTTTTTTGTGTATGTGCATTTGTGTACCGCTATATCGAAAATATCTCTTGCATTTCGTCGTTGCTATTTTTGTAAACATTCTTCGCGCCTATGTATTTCAAATTGTTGTTCTTGTTTTTGCTGTTTTGATTTTTGGCTCAGTGTAAATATTTAAGCAACACAATCCGACGATTTGTGCTTT